AGCCCGGTGATGGGGCGGGAGCAGAGCGGGGTCAACGCCCCGGGAACCGTAAGGACACTGTGAGAGAGGACAAACGGGGTCAGTGTTGGGGTTCACGGAGCCTGATGGAGCCTGGAAGCCCATCCCCCTCTCCAGTGCAGCAGTGACATGGGACAGGGCCCGGGAGGTCCCACGTGGCCACCCAGAAAGCCACACTTGGTACTGAGCAGCTGAAGAAGCCTTTGACTCAAAACAACCTCACTTGGAATGTGAACACGAAACATTTTAAGTGAGGAAAAACTCCTTCACTGGCTTGCTTCGTACATTAAAACTGAGATGCTCACTCACTGGGAGTTCAGGAAGGGCCACGCGGCTCGCAGATCCCATATCAGGGTTCTAATAAAACGAATCCTAGCTGCTCTTGTCCTGTGTAATGACCAGGCAGGGGATGCTGGGCAAGGCTGAGGGCTTTTTCTTTTCTTTTCTTTTTTTGAGACAGGTTCTTGCTAAGTAGGTCAAGCTGGCCTTGAACTCACTATGTATCCCAGGCTGGCATTGAGCTTCTGGAGACCCTCCTGCCTCAGCTTCCTGAGTGCTGAGGTCACAGGAGTGCATCACCATGTCCAGCTCAACACATTTCTGTGGGGCTGTGCAGACCATCCGGCAGGGATGGGAAAATCACAAATCACACCAGTGGACCCTGGGTGCTTGTGGATCCCACTGTGCAAGGCTCCCGTGTCTCTCAAGGCTTCTGCCACCGCTTCTGTCCCCCACTCTGAAGCAGCACAGCCAGTGACCTTCACAGCGGCCTTGTGTACCCAGGGCACAGGGCTGGAGTCGAGGGCGATCTCACCGGTGTCAGCGGGTACAGGATGTGCTTTCACCATTCCCTGGCACTCATTAATCTTTTGCTTCTCCTCTGCTTTTTTTTGAGAGAAAGCAACAATATGTAACTAAAATTTATTGATACTGTTTTGTTCTGATCATGTAGCTTTTACCCCTACAGTTTATTCAGTGACAAATACCAGTTGTTATTTTACTCATGATATAAAAGTCACAGCGACGGCCGGGCACAGTGGCACATTCCTGTAGTCCTAGCTGCTTGGGAGGCTGTGGCAGGGGGATGGCAAGTTTGAGGCAAGCCTGGGCAACTTAGTAAGGTTGCGTCTCAAAATAAACTTTCAAAAAGGGGATGGAGCCGAGGATGCAGCTCAGCAGCACAGCGCCTGCCTGGCAAGCCGAGGTCATGAGTTCGATTCCCAGTACCAAAAACCCAGGGAGGAATATAGTTCAGTGGTAGAGGATTTGGCATGTGTGAGCCCCTGGCTTTAATCCCCAGCGCGTGTGCACACACACGCACACAATTACAATGGTCAGCAAAGGACTAATGTTTGAACCATGGCTCCTGAATTGATCAGGATTTGGGCTGTGATCTGGGCTTCAGGCCTGAACCAGAGAGGCCCTGTCAGCCTGAGTCAAGGCCCATGTGGGGACTGGGGGGCGGGGGTCCCCCAGGATACTTGTGAAGCCCACATTCCTGCCTGCAGTAAACAACCTGGAAAAGCAGGGCTGAGTGCTCTGGCAGGAGCAGGAGAGCGAGGTGAGTTCTGGGGAGCAGGGGAAGCGCTGGCTCAGGCAGCCGGGGCTTCTGCAGCTCTGAGCTGTGCTACTGGCCCTGAAAGAGGAGCCAGCTGTGCGGCTCTGCTCCTAGCAGGTCTAAGGCCTGGGTGGTGTCTCACCTGTTAGGAACTCAGCGCTGGGGCTCTGATGTGGCTCCGGGCAGTGGAGCGTTTCCCTAGTGCATGCAAGGCCCTGGGTTGCATCCCAGTACCGCAAAAAGTAAATGCGAGTAACTGAACCAAAACACTCATTACTGGGCTCCAGGCCCCTGGAAGAGGCTGGCGATCCCAGCAGTGCCATCTAGTGGCAACAGGGCGGATGGCGCCTGGGATGACAGCTGACGGGGCCAGCGAGGCTCTACTGTCCCTGCGGTAGGACAGGTGCCTGGTACCCATCATTAGGAACTCACCACGAGAAGCAGCCGGCCACTGGCCCTCGATGGGGTCTGAGTGGGTCAGATGACTCTCATCGAGAACGGCATGATGAACAAATGGCACACGGGGCTGTGCAAGTGCGGCCTAGATGTGACAAACCAGGACACCCGGGTGCCAGGGCTGTGCACAGTTACACTATGACCTGGGGTGGGATGCGGTATGCCAGTGAAGTCCTGGATGGAGAGGAGGCCCCAGGAGGGAAAGGAAGCCCACCAAACTGTGCCTCAGGGAGGTGCCCAGTGCATGCAGGACAGCAGTGGCCCACACTCCGGGAGGGCACCTGGCTGGGGCAGGCAAGGAGAGGTGGGCATTGTGAGCCGTGTTAGGTAGCCTTTCCAGGTGAGGAGGAGATGGACAGCGTGCAGGTGGTCTGGTCTACCTGGAGTGGTTCCCCAGCCCTGGCCACCTGGAGGCTGCCCTTGGGCCTCCCCCAGTCCCCGACACAGTTAGCACACAGGGTCCCAGTCACGCCCAGCCCTACCTCCATCCCACACTCGTGCTGCAGACTGACAGTGACGGGCTTGAACAAGGCAGGGTTCCGGCCTCAGTCACAGATGCTCACCAGGGACTCACACCACGCTCTTCACAGCCCTCCTTCCTAGGGACGGCCTCACCCTCCTTCACCAGGAGCGTGGACCCCAATTGCTGCTCGGGAGATGCTGGGCGCTGGCTCACGCATCAAAGCCAATTCCTCATCTGCAGACCTGGCCAGCCACTGCTGCCGCCCTAGCCAGGAGCGAACCTGCGGGAGGAGTGGGGGCAGCCATGAAGGTGGCCCTCCCTCGAGGGGGCCCGAGCAAGGCCAGGTTCCTGTACTGCCCGAGGGTGGGCTGTCTGGGCTGGGCGCGCACCTGGCGGCTCCGCCTCCCCTTGGATTTTCTGTGCCTGTTCCCTCTGTTTGCCCTGCATCAGCTGGAACTAGGGTCCTTCTCCAGCAGCTGGAGGTTCAGACCAGGACAGCAACCACTGTCTGCTTAGGACTTAAGAGTCTAAGGCTTAACCCCTGGGAGGGTGCTCCTGAGGCCGCAGTGGCAGTGCCCCAAATGTCTCCAACGCTGGTGGTGGTGGCCCGCCAGGCTGCCTTTCTGCCCCATCCCCCTGTGCTCAGCGACGTGAGCGGCTGGCAGGTCCGGCCCTGCAGGGATTCTCCTCTCGGGGCCTGGCTGTGGCAGCTCCCTCGGGATCAGAGCCCAGAGTGGAGCGGAGTGGACTTCACATTCCAGTACCTCAAAATCCCACTACAAATCAGAAAGAGATGTTTGCTCAATTTAAAGTTTAGTGTATCTCCCCTTGAATTTCACATAAAGCCTGGAACAAGTTAACACTTGCAGAAATGTTGAAGGTTCCAACTCTTTCCCTTTGAAGCCACACAGGGAACAAAGAAGACAGCGCCCTCTTCCTGGAGTCAGGTCCCCAAGACTGAGAGGGCAGAGCCAGCAACTCTGCTGACCGCAGACAGCGGGCGTGGGAGGACTCCCCCCGCTAAGCAGGTCAGGGCTCAGACAGAAGGCGCTGGGAGGGTGGGCTGCTCCTCGCCCGGGCCCCTCCTCCGAGTGGGCTGCATAGCTATCAGGGCTTGGGGGGCTCCCTCAAGCCCCCAGTCCATGCAGGACCCAGAAGAGGCTGGAAATGAGTCAGTCTCTGCCAACTGAGGCCAGAGAACCATCAACAGTCCAGTAACTAAATAAGGGCCGGTAGGTAGATCTGAGCGTCTTCATTCAGGTGACCGGGGGACCCAAGTTCACCTTTGTGATAATCAGCAGCCGGGCTCTGCCAGCCAAGCACGGCTGGAGCAGAGGCCCATGAACGAGTTAGAAAACACACACACACACACACACACACACACACACACACACACACACACGCTGCTTTCACCTGCACCCCTGGACCTGAGTCCCCGAGGGGCAAAGGCTGAGCCTTGGGGGCAGCCCTTGTAAATGGCTGGGTCTGACTCTGGCAGAGTCCGGAGCAGAGACAGCCTCTGGAGTGTGGGGTGCAGGCTGTGGCCCTAGTCTTGAACTTGGGGTACATAATGACAAGGATCTATTGTGCACCTTCTGGGAGCCACCACCCATCAGATGCTTCTCTGAGGGAGATGTGGTCAGAGTGGCGGCCCAGTGGCCCGGAGCACAGGTGGGTGGGAACCAGGTCTGGGGGGCTGAACCCCTGCACTGAGCTCCAGGGGGCCCTGGCAGCGAGGTCCCCTGGGCACCGAGTAGCACTGGACCATAGGACGCAGACTGAATGCTGGAGCCCAGGGAGCAATTTCACCGTCCCCAGACCTGCTGCTGCTGTCTGCTCTAGAGTTCTGCTCTGTAGGGGTGGCTGTGGTGCAGTCACCAAGCACTGGGGTCACCATTCGGTAGGGCACGCAGCCAGAGCTGCCTTGTGTCCTTCAAGGGCTCTCAGACATGTGCAGGAGGTAAAGAGCCAGCGAGGGGCTTCAGGGTACATGCACGATGAGGGTGGCCTCTCATCACAGCCTCTTCCTGATGCGGGAGGAAGGCATTAGTATGTCCCATTGGTCCAGCCAGCCCTTGCTGGGCATCTGCTAAATGCCTTGCAGGAAGAGCCACTCATGACTGGGAGCAGACTCGGGAGCAATGCAGCAGCCTAGAGATGATCGCCAGAGGCCCCGGGGGTCAGCCTGGCGGGGGTGGGTCCTGGGCTGAGACTTCTGCTCTGCAGGCTCAGGAAGAGCCAGCCTTCACGTGACCACACCGCAGTGATACAAGCCACCAAGTCACAGCAAAGAGCACAGGGAAGGTCCAGCACAGATGTGGAAGATGAGCGAGGAAGGTGAGGGACCACTACGCCCCGTGGGGAACAGTGACACACGCAGACACACCGACACGCCCCTCTTCGCTCCCGCTCCACACCCCGGCGCCCCTTCACGAGCTCCCTATGCTCCCATAGGCTGCCCCGGGCTCAGCGTGGCTTCCCCAGACTAATCGTAAGGACAACCAGTTAAAGAACCATGTTTATTGCTTTACAGAACAAACTTGTTCTTTACTATTCAGTTCATTATGAACTTGAATCACTGTAATATTTTTTGTCCTTTTGTCTTTTAGAGCCAGAGTCTTGCTATACAGTTCAGGCTGGCTCTGAGCTTACTTTGTACACCAGGCTGGTCTTGAAGTTGCAGATTCTCCTGCCTCAGCTTCCCAAATGCTGGGTTACAGGCGTGTGCCTCAATACCCAGCTAATCACTGTAACTTTAAAGCTTAGAACGCAGCTCAGGCTTCTAGCAGCAACATCCCACGTTTGGTGCCTTAACTCACCAGGTGATGGGAGTCATGCACCTGGTGAGAATCAGAGCTTCTGAGTTTCCCATGTGCCGAGGAGACAGAGGCCCAGGCTGCCCCACCAGCCAAGGCTGCATGTGATGTGTTTGGGCTGCCCGCCCCCGTCCTAGGCCTACTGTCACCCCTGGGTGGCAAGACACAGAGGCTGCAGGGCTTCATGGCACTTCGGGGGGCACTCAGTGACCCCCAGGGTGCGGGCACCAGCACCTGCCACCTCCTTCGGGTGGCACAGCTTTGCCAATGCAGTAAAGGCTGCGTCCTGGCCTAGCAGAGGGCCCTGCGGCAGCAGGGGACACAGCACGGCTGTGGCTCTCCTCACCCTCCAGCAGGAGGGCTGCGCCTAGAGCTTGCTGTTCTTCTGGAACTGGGCCACCAGGCTGAGGACCTGCTCGGAAGCTTTGATGCTCTTGCTGCCCAGGTAGGCGGTGCTGTTGGGGCCCGTCTCCTCCGGGAAGTAGCGGTAGTTGGCCATGAGGCCGCACGAGCTGGTGAGGCCCCGGGGGCTGCTGTCGCCCATCCAGTTGATGCGCCACATCACGGCCCCGTTCTGCAGGTGGAAGTTGGCCACGGGGTTGAGGGCATAGCCGCGGTGCTTCTCGCCGTACAGGTACCAAGCGCAGAGCCGCATCAGCGGCGCCTGGAGCGCCTGCACCAGCTTCTCCGACTGTGCCCACTCGCTGCCGCTCAGGAGGACCTTGAGGGTCTCGGGCACGGGGCCGCCCACAGCCTCGCCGAGCTCTTTACTTTCCGAATCCGTGAACAGGCCGTTCCGCCCATGCTCCTTTGTCTGCGAGCCCAGAAGCCCCAGGAGCCATTTGGTGAATCCGGGTATGGGCGACAGGCTGGAAAAGGCCCCCAGGTGCGGGAACTCTTTCTGCACAGCAGGTGGAAGGAGAGAGGGAGGCGGAGAAAACACACAGATTCAGCAGACCCGAAGCGCGCGGGACACCTCTCAACTCACCTAGTGTCACCGACCTGGGGCTGACCGAGTGACACTGACACCAATGACTGTACTCTTCAAGGCACATGCATCAGGGACCTGGCTGTGCCAGGGCCTGGAGGCACCCGATCCTTGGGACTCAGGGCCCAGGGACTGGTGAGGAGATAAGTGATGCCAGCCTTCAAGGGGACAGCGGGGGATGGGAGGGCAGGCGAGCCACACGATCCATGCATTCCTGTTCAAACTGTACAGAGATCGCCTTGAGTATTTTTAGAAGCCCAGAATTTTATGATTATAAATGTAGTGTGTGCTCATTATAGATTTTTTTTGTCTTTTTCATTTTTATTGGTACTGGGGATTCAACTCATGACCGCCTGCTTGCAAGGCAGGTGCTTATGCCGCTGAGCTAAACCCCCAACCCCCGATTATAGATTTTTTTAACTTATGAAAGAAGCAAAGGAAACCACCACACTCCGGCCCCATGAGAAAACCGCCGTGGAGTCTGCTGAGTGTGACGCCTTGGGTTCCTGCAGTCATGGGCTGGGCAGCTACTGTGCAGCCTGCATCACGGATTCACAGCAGGCGCGTTTTCTAAGTGTCACTTAAAACTCAAAACTACAACTTTAATGACAGTGATACTGAAATGCCAAGCTCTCCCGTGGCACCCAACCATGGGTTGGATGCCTTGTTGGATGTCTGACCGTTTATGAAGCCCAGCAAACCCTCCTGTGCAGGAGGACTCCGGCTCACCGTGAGCACAGGACAGTGGCCCTGCAGGTCGGCTCCTCCGTCAGAGGCAGTCTGGTGGGGGTCACCCAGAGTCCAGCGTCCTGCCCGCCCCTTCACTGCCTTTCTGACCCTCACAGCCCCTGCCCAACACCATGAGCACAGCAAAGGCCTAAGCAGATGTGGCCCCCTCTGGGGAAAAGCAGCACCATGGCAACAGAGCAACTGTAGGCCAAGCTCTGGGCGAGAGCTGACCACCAGTGGAAGGCGATGCGGGAAGCACAGACGCCACCCTGCTGTCCTCCGTCGCAGTGCCCATGCTGCCCTGGTCACCCTGCCTGAGCTGATCCACGCACGGGAGCTCTCTAAATCTAGGCCCAGCGCAGCCATGCACTGCTCTGGTAGGGCAGGGCAGGGTCCCTCGGAGGCAGCAGGACAGGGCGAGGCCAACAGCAAGCCAAGCACGGCTGATCTCAGCAGGCCTCGGGGAAGCCCTGTGTGGTGCGGGCAGGTGAGGTGCGGCTGGGAGGCCCTTGGCCCAGACAGCGGGCACAATGTGAGCAGGCAGGCTTGGCAGGCGCGAGGTCGCCCCAGGGCTCACATCCTCAGCCCACAGTTGTACTTGCGGGCGGTCAGTGACAAGCTGGGCTCTGGGTGGCCCCTCAGTGGTCTGGTGGCACCGAGGAACTGTCACATGGGGGCAGGCCTGCTCTGCGCCTCCCTGCCTCCTGCACAGCCCCGCCCCCATCCTGTGCTCGGGGCGTAGGCTGGACCCATCACCCACCACCACAAATCCTGACGGTGGGCGTAGCCGTGGCACTGGGTGGTTGTAAACAGAGCCACCAGGCGGCCGCACTCACCTGCAGCTCCTTGAGGACGCGCTTTACGAGGAAAGTGCCCAGCTCGACGCCCTGCAGTCCCTGCTGCGTGAGGCTGATGGAGTAGAAGATGGCAGCGGCGATCCTGTCCCTCTCCTCGGTCTCCGACAGGGGCTGCTCCTTCACGATGGCCTGGAACACATGACCAGGGGCCCTGGTGGGTGGATGGCTCTCCCGCCCACACCCCAGCCTGCCGCTGGCCACAGACGGCTCGCAGAGAGTCCAGTGCTTCGGGCTGCAGTGCTCTCTGCCCTCCTGAAAATGCCCACCCAGTCTCTCTGGCGCTGCTCAGGGTGCTCGTTCTGCTGTCTGACACTCCTGTGCAGGCGCTGCTGGGGGCACCTCTGTCCCTTTTTGCCCCTCTAGGCCTCCGTGCAATCTGACGCCCACTTCCCCCTGCACTGAACCTGCGGCAGGGCCAAGGCAGCCACCTGAGCTGGGTTTCTGTCCCCTTTCGTCCAAGGCCTGCTCTCCTACCCTCTGGTTAGTTTTGCTCCTCTCTCTGCATTTGTTTTCAGCTTTCTCAGTAGGCTAGTGGAATTTTTTCCAAAATTTACCCTGTGAGGACTCTTCTGCATCACTCGTTTTATCTTTGTGCCAACCTCCTTGGTTTCACTGAATGAAAGCACACGTTCACATAGACGAACACAAAGCAGTCTATGAAGAGCCGTCCACCGTGCAATCCCTGCGGCAGCCTGGCTCTCGGCTTGTCCTGCTGCATCCTGTGGAGCCCCAGCACTGTCGGTGCGTGGGTGGGCAGCTCCCTCTCAGCCTGCTCCGAGGCAGGGGCTCCCGATGCAGGCTGCCCGCCTGAGCTGACAGAAAGCACTCTCTGCCCGGGGGCGGGGACACTGCCTATGACTGTGACAGGTTAGACACTCCCCTGAGCCTCGGTTTTCCTACGTCTAAAAGGCCAGCTCATCTGAGCTGAGCACCTTTGCATGGACCAACAGACACAGGGTACGCTCAATAGACATCACAGACACAGCCACTAAGGCCACACACTGCACACTCCTCTGCAGCCTGGACTGTCCCTCCACAGTAAAGGCAAGGCTGGCCCTCCGTGTCAAATATAAACCCACGCCACTATTTAAACACACAGAGACCCTGCTCATGCGCAGGTGGGTGTGGGTGGCAGGTGTGTTGGCACAGCGTTGCCTGAGCACTGTCCACTGAGGGACAGCGAGGTCCTCCAGCACACTGGGACCCGGGAGCAGTGTCCTGCACTGGATCATACTTCAGCTTCCTCGCAGGGGCTATGACAACCTCCAGTCCCAGGAGCTTCACACTCCACACCCTGGGGGCATCCCCTGGTGGCCGAGGGCACCCACCTGCTTTCTCTACTTAATGATTGTGAGGTTGTGGGGGCAGATTCTGCTCCAGTGCCTCTCCTGGGAAGGCCTTTGCCCGCCTCATAGGCTAGCTGGGCCCAGTCCTCTTGGACGGAGCAGACCCGCTCTAGCCGGGGTCTCACACTTGTCCCCACAGCTGCAGTCTCCATGGAGACCTGCTCTCCTTTGTGTGCTGCCCTGGAGCCCTGAGTGTCTGGACAGGCTGGCCAAGCTCCTCTGGGGCCGCCTAGCTCCCCCAGGGCCACTGAACCACGGCCTGCACTCACCAGTACATCTGTACCTGTCTGTCATGCATCATGCATCTTAGAAAGCCCTTGCAGACACTTAACAAGTGCTGGACAGCCGAGCCGCGCGCCTCCTCCTGTCTCTTCCCTCGCCCTGTCTGCTGTCACAGAAATGCCCTGCAGTGCTGAGTCAGCGCCACCAGTCAGATGCTCCCCTGTGCCTGCACTGTCTGCCCTGCTCACCTCTACCTTCTTATCCCATGGCTAGAGGTTTGATCAGCCCAAATACAAAGTCTATGAAAATTCCAAGCAGCTATTTTTAAGAAAGAAGGTAAGCTGGGTGCAGACCTATAATCCTAGCACTCAGGAGGCTGAGCCAGGAGGATCACTGTGAGTTCAAGGCCAGCCTGAACAACCAAGCAAGACCCAATCTCAAGAACAAACAACAAACAAATAAGATAAAACCAAACTAAAAAACAAAAAACAAAACAAAAGAAAACCTTAAGGAACTCTGTGGGACGCCTGTCTTGTCCTGAAGAGCCTGTGCACAGGTACCTGGATGTTGCTGGAGATGTCACTGGTGAGCGCCACATACAAAATGACCAGGGGCTCCCCGGGCGTTGAACAATGAGAAAAGAAGTAGCATCGCCTGTAGGGCCCGACGCGTTGCTTCATGTCCATCCAGCTCTTTATGGGGTGCACGGCCTCAGACCTGACGAGGAAGCACAGAGAAGGGCGGCACGCGGCTTACTTGTCAGGTAACAACTGCCGGTTTCCACGCGTGCAACCCGCGGAGGCCGAGTAAATGCTGTCAGCGCAGCCCCGAGTGACTCTCAGGAAAGCGCTTTCACGTGAAGCAGCCCCGGGAGAACTGTGATTCGTGACCGCTTTACACACGGCTGCGCTCACCCTCCCGCAGGTCTGCAGAGCGGAGTGTCAGGCTCCCGGGTTCAAGGCAACGCTGAACTGCGGGCCTCAGCGTGTGGCTCCTGTCTTTACTGCGGATCCCTGCGTTTCAAGAGGTTGCCCATCCTGCACACGGCACCCCGTGGGCCTCTCTGTCTCCCATCCTTGCTCCCCACAACTTTGCTTCTGCACAAGAGATGAGAGCAGGCACCACGGTCACCGCCCCAGAGTGGGCATGCAGGTAGGAGGCCGCAAGGCGCAGCCCAGGTGATGCCGCCCTGGACGTGCTGCAGGGATCACGCAGGACACAGCCCACTTAGATGCTTACTGGGGAGGCACAAGAATTACATATGGTAAGTGCTTATGCTTTCTCAGACAGGGCTTCACTGTACAGCTGAGGCTGGCCTTGAACTCGCTGTGTAACCCAGGCTGGCTTCGAGCTCACAGTGATCCTCCCGCCTTAGCACCAGTATTGCAGGTATGCACTAGAATGCCCACGGATAAATGTTCTCTGGGTTACTAATGCAGATACCTGGTCGGTGGGTTCTGATAATCTGGCCTGGGGAAGCTGTACATGGCCCTGTCTGCTTCAAAAGGACGCGGCACTGATGGACAGGGGAGCTTCTCTCAGGACCCCATCTCAGGGGCAGGCGAGATGGCAGCTACCCTGCTAGTGAATGCTGGGTTTGGGACTTGTTAGTCCACCATAAAATGCACACATGGATGGACGCCGGCCCTCAGCTACGACACAGAGGAGACCCGTCTTACTTACTCACTGATTTTCTGAAGCACCTCACACGGCGAATGCCAGGTGACTCTCTCCAGGTTCAGGAACCCTGAAGAGAACCATTCTGAGAGCATGCTTTTTAGCACCCCGTTCATCTCCTGCAAAGGAAAAAGTACAGGGTCAGGTTTCCGGGTGTATCACCCCAAGACCATCTCTGCAGCCCCGAGAGCACAGCCGGATGCAATGCTTGGCTGTGCTACAAGAGAAGACTGCCCGACAGCCCTCAGGCAGCGGTTCTGACACCTCCGGGGCCGCACCTCCAGCCAGGCCTTAACTGGCTGCTCTCTGCTTAGACCTCGCTGAGTTAGTGTGTAATACACTTGAATGGTAAAGTTAATATTGTGCTAAGCTGCCCAAATCACAGTGTACAGCTAAGTAAGTAACAGGCTAGCGGGGTGTGGAGGTGTACAACTGTGACCCCAGCACTCAGGAGGGCTGAGGCCAGCCTGGGCTACCTCGTGAGACCCTCTCAGAACACACACACAAGATGGAGATGCAGGGTGCATCTCACAGGAAGCACCAACGCAGGCTGCAGTTGCTCTGCGAGGCTTCCCTCCATGCTGGGACACTCCTTAATACGGCATGTTACACCTGAGCTTCCCAGGGGAAACAAGGACTCGTCTAGGAGCTGTTTTATCAACCTGAAGATGCCACGTCTTCGTATTTTAACATCTCTGACGTCAGGGCACATCTTGTAAAGACAGCAAGTCACGGCTTAACTGACAGCATCCTAAGTCTGCTTTAGGACGGCATAAAATTACAGAGTCTTTTGCAAACAAGGAACTTCAGATTTGATGAATTATTCTGCTTTACTTGCAAAAATGCATGAGCTGACATCAAAGTCCTATTTGCACTGAAACCTTTCAGGTAGGAGTCAAACCAAATGCACAGAAGCCAGAGCAGAATCTGTGCTCAGGGTAGCCTTACACGCCTGAGCACAGAACTGCGGAAGGGCCGCCGCCGCCCAGGACAGCGAGGATGCCGAGGCCAGCACGCTGCCGCCGCCCAGCAGCTGCTTTCCTCTCCTCCCAAGTGAACAGCCAAGCACGTGGCTTTCCAGAAGCCTGCACTGCCGCTTGGGGAGGTCATGCGACTGATACCTGGCCGATGAAACAGCAGGGGAGTCCTGTCACAGCTCTGAGGACCCTGAAAGGACTGCAGAAGTATGCCCTGCACTGTCTTTCCGTTATCCTTTCCACTGCAGCTGCTGTATGCTGTGATGGCCAGCACAGGAACAGCCACAGGGCACCACGAGGTGACTATGAAGAGGGTTTGGGGCAGAGTAACATTGTCATCTGGATCACCGAGCATACTACGGGGTCGCCTACCCTCAGCCTATGACCTAAGACCAACCTGTATGTTTCAAACCACGATTTACTGTGGGTTTCCTGTTACTTACAGGTGAACTACATGCTACCATATACACTGAGTATTATTAGATAATGGTGAACATCTTTGTGCATCTGGCTCTGAATCGATCGTCTGAATCTCTGTGTAAGGTTCACAAAGAATGAGATGGGTGTCGCTTACAAAGCCTGGTTTAACAACAGCTGTAAACCCTTTACAGCACCGACTTACACGGTGATCCGTGTTACAAGATAAGAAACTTCACATCTGTGTCACCAAAACAAAAGATGCCACGTGCAGGCTGGTGGCTTGTAGAAGTCTTCAGAACATGAGGTCTGTCTTTAAATCCCTAAGCACTGGAGCACACAGAAGGCCACACTTTTGTTCTAAGTGACCTTGTGAGGGTGGGGGAGGACAAATTTAGGACCAACTGTGGAAGTTTCAGGCACTGGAGGCGGGGGTTTAATGTCAGAAAGGAGCTCCGTGGGGCAGCTGCTGCCCACAGACGTCATCGTGGGAGCAGGTGCAGCTCGCGCCCATGTGACGTGCACAGGACAGACACAAGCTCAGGATGAGCTGCCTGCGAAAGGGCTGGGTCCTGGATCGGGCTAGGCTGGTAATTCCTCCCTTCAGCTCTGCGCTCCCTTGTAATCGCCTTTACTCCTGTGAGCACTGTCAGGGCAAGGTCCACTTCTGATTCATTCCTCATTTCCAAGGCGTTCATCGATGGGCTGACATCACACGGAAATAACAATAATAAAGGACTGGTGGCCAGGAGGATGAGGGGCATCATTTGCTCGGGCATACAGAATGGCTCTTTAGAAAACTGTGTTCTGCAGACCACAGTGGTTCTTAACTGTGGGATCCTCACACCCATTTTAAATGTGTGCTAGAAATCCCTGATTCATCCCCACCAAAGGCCAGCACATTAGGAAAGTGTTGCATGTGATCTGTTGATACTTAAGAAGGCCAAGAGACGAGCTTCTGCGCTGAAAGGTTGGGAACAGGCTGGCTCAGTTCTAGTGCAGAAGACGCACTGGAGCCCTACTACACACATAACAAGAAAACGCTGCAAACACCTGGTTTGGTGTGAACTGAGTGGGAACTATGAAGAAATGGACTGAAGAGGAATTCTGAGTCTCCTCTTTCTATTCTGGGCTGCTGACAGCTGGGGCATGTGATGCTGGACCCAACAGCCAGGAATCTAGGCGAAGGGTCACAGCCCCACTGCCAGTTCTAGCATGGTTGACGGCTATCCAGGCTGGCAGGCACCACAGCATGAGACATCACGGCATCGAAAGCAGCAGGTGACAAAGAAGCCTCTGCCTTTCACTCACTGATTCAGTGATTGCTGATCAACAACGCAAGGCTGGAAGGTGGGACTGCTGGGGACATTCAGGCGCTGTGCGGCGGGCTGTCACTGCCAGTGTGCTCTGCGCCTCCAGCTGCAGTTTTCTCGGGTGATGCTGTTTAAACCAACAGCCCACGAGCTTTGGGCTCTCACGGTGTGCTGAGCTCTGGGGCCTTGGGGCCTGAGCGGAGAGGGAGGAAGGGAGGAGCCCTCAGGCGAGCGGAGCAGGGGCTCGGAAACTCACCTCCCAGGTGTGCGCCTCACCCCACACTAAACTCACACAGGCTGAGAGGACACAGGGACACCGCACTGGCTCACGGGGCTGTGTCTGATGAGCTTACTCCCTCCCGGCCCCCATCCTCCCCTTCCGGCTCTCGGGCCCCACTTCACCATGATTCCTGTGTTCCGACCGCCACTACAGAGACCTCTCCGTGATCTCCACGCCAGCTTCCACCAGGTACCCACCAAGGCTGAGCAGCGCCCAGACCAGACCTTCAACTACTTTGGCAATTCAACTGTCTCACTGGGATTTGATCTGGAAGAAGCTGAAGCCATCAACCAAATGCAAGTGTGCACATAGAAAAACAAAAATCCTACAAGCCTCACCCTGCAGCGCACGCCTGCCACACTCCCGTGATCACCCCGAAGGAAGACAGGTCGGCTCCACAGCAGCCGCTTCTGGCTGACACCAGCTGTCACCTCTTACACTACTCCTCGTGCACCTCCAAGTGCATTCTGGAGATGAGCAAAGTGGCACTGGCTGTAGATTTGAATTTGTACCCATCTAAGGCTAAAGGGCACCCTGCAAAAGAAAAGCCGAAACTGCTAGTTTCTGCAGAAATAACATGCATACCAACAAGCCTCTAAACCCACCAGAACCTTGACCGAGGACAAGAACATCTTCTAACCAAAAGGAGTGTTTCTGGTGTGATGAAGCTGCTTTATGGGCTTCAGACTACGCCCTGCACTTTTCTACAAATCCCTTAAGTATTAAAACAAGTAAAATTCTTTTGCTGGGACACACCATGAAGACCGGCTCACTACAAATCTACGCCATAGCTACAGAAATGGTGGTACTCATATGAATCAAAGAAGCCCAATGCCTCTCACACTGAAAAAAAAAATATCGGCCAGACAAGGCTCACTTTTTCCTTCTTCATCTATTGATTTTCTATCTTGACAAACACAACCCAGACATTTGATCTTTATACTGTAAAAACTTTCAAAGCAGCACTTGATCTTCCAGCAAGATTTGTTACTGACTCTGAACTTTGTATCCAAAGGATTAAGCATCCCTAAGGGAGAGAAAAGAAACCTTATCTGATTTAAAATATCCAAGGAAAGAGATAATCCCCAGCTTGGCCACTTGTCTGAAGTTCTCTAGCTGAGCTGCCCAGGCAATGGAAATGTCTGTCTTATGGATTCTCTCATTTTCCATCGTCACAATCCCTGGTTAGAGAGCAGGGTAGTGACAGACTGTGACGCTGCCTCTGTTTACCGTATTTTTAGCAATGCTCCAGTAAATCCCTCAGAGCCTCTCTTAGGAAAGAACCAGGCTGACCTTGGGCTCACACCGGCAACTGAATCTCTCTTCTCAGTGCGGAGCCTATGGGTCCAGGGCAGGGTAAGTGACTTGGCTAAGATCACCTAAAGTCACATCCCTTAACAGATGGTGAGAAGGAAACGGGAACTGGCTCACTTCCCATTCTGGGCATCTTCCACTGGATCCACTGCCCCCCAAAACACATAGAATCAGCACCCTGAAGGTATGTGTTTCCCACTTGTTCCACCATGCAGGGTCAGTAAAAGGGTCATGCAATGACCTGTATGGGCAGAGCAAAGGCTCAGGATCAAGCGCACAGCAGCTCCAGTGACCAAAGCACCCTTGCTTGACCTCATCTAGCAAGATCAAAAGTCAGCTGGGGCCAGGCAAATAGATGCCCCAGAGACGAAGCACCATGCCCATATACCAGGAAGGCTGAGACGTGGGGTGATCCAGGAGCGATCCCCCACTCCAAGTACTAAGCACTTAAGACAGCCCTTGGGTGTCGAGGCTCCTACTCTGGAAGTTTTCAGCACTGAATCCCTAAAAGCAAAATACTGCAGCTGTGCTGCTTCTTTAACAGGACACAAAATCCTAAAGTGAAAGAATCTGCAAACTAAACCGACAGAATATCCGATGACAACAGTGACGTCTAATGTCCCCTACGGCCGCCAGGTGACAAGGATGTGTGTCAGTTGCGGATGCTGGGGAGGGGCACACAACAATGGAGCAGGCTATGCATACGGGATATTTGAGAACTCTTTTCTGTTCAGTTTTGCTGTGAACCTAAAACTATTCTAAAAACTATTCCTTATTAAAAAAAAAAAAAGACTGCATGTATTCTGGTGGTAGGTTACAAGATCAAATCCCAAGAAACAATTTCTAGAGATTAAAAGAAACTTTGTTCAGAATGATTCAAATGATAGAGATTTAAAATGAAGTTATGCAGCTATGTAAAGTGAAGGAGAAAGGAATTAGCCAACTTTACTAACAGTTACACATGGCCATAGGGCTGGGGTTCCCAGTGGAGAAATGGAAGGGGTGCAACACAGCCCCTAGGAAGCTTCTGTGGCCAACGAGTCCGGACCACATGGAGGGTCAAAGGTCAGGATGCTGCGTTCATTCCCCCTCGGGTCCTTTTTGTGACTTTTGGCCTGACAGCCTGCGATGTGCTGGACAGCCTAGGTGAACAAAACAAGGACCCTGCAAATGCCTACGACTTAGCATCGATGGCTTCCCCAGACTTCCCAGAAGTAAGCTCCTCCCCCAAAGTCAAGTCTCAGTGCTGGAGCAGTCAGGCTCTGAGATGCTCCTTGTGCACAACTTGATAACCATGAATTTTTTCCTGTGGGGAAGAGCAAGCGGGTGTGTTCTGTACACAGTCTGAGAACTCTGATGTGGCTGGGATGCATGACATGGAACACAAAAGTTCAACCACCCAGACTGTGCTTGAACCCGGCACAGGCAACACAGTAAGAATCTGTGACTGAGTCAGTGACAGCCCATGAACTGGGCCTTGTCAGTCTGGAAATCACAGGCCAAAGGTCTGTGGTCCTAGGTCATGCTTAGCATTATAAATTAACAAGCTACCACAGAAATGAAATCACAGCCACTGTTATCACTACGCTTTGCAACTACACCCAATTTTCATGCATCTGAGGCTAAACAGTCAACAAAAAAGCTTCTGATAAAACCCTGTTAGCTCTCAAAGCATGATGGTGTAAAGGACGCAGGGTTGGGGTGGTAACCAGAAACCCATGAGTTTTTGGATGACTCACACCAGCTCCTGGACTGGGTCAGAGGATACATGTATCACCTCCCTGAGGCTGAGGGAAAAGAAGCAAAAACGGTTAATGGCCAGGTCTACAGCTTCTAAATGACTTCAGATGTAATCATCTGGTTGTTAAATTCAAAAGCACATAGTAAAGTTCTGAGTGTCAGAAACCTTCTGAAAACATTTTCACTCGCTAAAAGGACACATAGTATTCCTTCCACATTTCAGATGATTATAAAGGGGCTATCCGTAACTCTAGGCCTTTTCAGGTCAAAGGCATTTGAATCTCATTTATCTGTCTCTGGCATGAATTCACAACGCTAAGCACTGGCTCCTTCAAGAAGACAACTCACAATCCCTACTTTTAGGGCCAAGGACAGGGAATTAAAATAATACGTCCAAATTTTCTTTTTTTGTCTTTTTCCTTTTTATTGGTATCAGGGATCGAACTCAGGACTGCCTGCTTACAAGGCAGGCTCTTATGCCACTGAGCTAAATCCCCAGCCCCCAAATTTTCAAAGCAGAAAAAGGCCAGAAGGCAATGAGACTCAAGTGGTAGTGACCTTACATTCTAGTCACTGTGGGCATGTCATGGGACTTCTTAGGGCGTTTCACACACAGTGGCTGCCCACTAAACAGGCTGACACCAGCCAGGTTTTTAAAGATGGCCTTTGTTCGCACCTGCACAGGTGTATCTCAGTTACAATAACAAAAGAGACTTTCTAGAGCACGCTAACAGGCCTAACAGTCACTTTAAGGCTAGACTGGTGCAGGCCATATTTAGTAAAGACTTGCAAGGAGAGGCTGGAGGGCGACAGGGGCGCCCTGGACTTAGGCAAGGACTCAGGGAGCGGGGTCGAAGGGGCTTCACAGGGCGTGGCCGGGTTCGGGTGAGCACTGCGTGGGGAGGCCCGTCCTTACCCGGACGTGTGGCCCCTCCACCAGCTTCAGCGCCTGCGCCTCGAGCAGGTCTGCCCGCAGCCGCACCAGGAAGCGCACGCCTCCGTCCAGCTTGCTGATGTGATGGAAGAGGCCGCGGTAGCGCGGCACCAGCGCGTAGCGCAGCCGGTCCTCAGCCTGCAGCAGCACGGCCGCCTCCCGCGGCTGCTCTCGCAGCTGGAGCACGCCGGCGCTCTGCTCGGCCACCTGGCCGTGGTCCACGCCGAAGCCCTGCGCCAGGCGGCCCAGGAGCTCGGCGCGCTGGGTCGCCTCGGTCAGGCCGCCGTAGAAGCTCACGAAGTCGGCGCACTGGCCCTCAGCGGGCGCAGGGGTCTTCTCGCGCAGCTCGTAGGCCGGCGTCTGCGGCACGGCGCGGCGAAGCAGCTCGTCCATGGCCCGCGTCAGGGAGCTCGGCCCCGCCGCCGCCGCCGCCGACCTGCTCGACAGCAGGGGCCCTGGAGGCCGCGGCGGCCGCGGGGCAAACCGCAGCGGGAGGAGATTCCGCGTGGTCAGCCCTGGCCCGAAGCCCCGCATGACGCCGGGGGACAGCAGCCCAGGGAGAAAGCCGGCCGCACCGTCGCTGCCGTGCTTCCGGTTCCGGCTTCCGGCGCGCGCCGATCCCATTGGCTGAACCCCGGAGGCTGGTGGGGCGGCAGCCAATCGGAGGGTGGGGTGGGGCCCGCGGGCCCGGAGGCCAAGTGCGACCAAAGGCCGTGGAGGGTGGGGCTGGCTGCCAGCTCTGAGCTGCAGTCTCAGTGCATCCTTGGCCTAGTGTCTTTACCCCAGCCGGCTAGAGTCCTTTTCCAGTCCTTCTCCTCCCCACGGCGCACGCGCTTCTGTTACTTAAATTCAAGCCCTCTGGAAAGTCGAGATAGCTCAGTGGCACAGCTGCCTGGCAAGTGCCAGGTTGTGAGTTCGATCTCCAGTACTAACTAAATTTATTTCATTCAGGGTCCTCTGGTCTCCCGGTGCTTGAGTCGCCTGAGGACATGTTCAGTTCTCTGGAAGGCAGTCTTCTTTGACCATGCCAGATCCTTTTCAAGGTCTTATACAGGGAGGTAGACAACTCCTGCGGGGGAGCTTCTTGTGGACGCTGCTTCTCTTTCCTTGGTCCTCATTCACTCAACAGAAAGTTTCTTAAGAGCCCAGTATAGACAGGCCCTCTACTAGGCTGGCAGTAAATGCGAGCCTGATCTTACCCTCACAAAGTGGGTACAGGCAGTGAAAGTAATTGCAAAGCGTAATAACTGCAATAAAGGAAATTAACAGAGCAGTAGTGTCAGACAGCAGAGTTAGGGTGACTTCTGTATGAATTTACTCTGAGGACGGGACTGCTATGCTGGTAGCAGGGTGACCCTGGCCCGTTTTTCCTACACTTTGCCAGCAAAGCACAAATAGATAGGATCACGTATGTGGAACTTTACAACCGAACCCTAGAACCAGCAATGTGCCTAACTTCCGTGCCAAGATAAACCAGGTACATTCCAGCCAGGGTGAAGTCATTTTTATCTTAAGTGTTAAGAGTATTCTGGCACAATAGAGAAGCAAAAAGTACAAAATGAACAGGTTTACTGAGGACGCGGAAAGGACGGCAGCTGGGCTGTCTCCTTCAACTGGATACAGAGAGGCAGAGGGTTTTATGACCTCTGATCGGAAGTGGCACATGGGGTGGATATTGATGATGTGTGAGGAAGGGATTGGAATTCTCTGTGCGTGCAAACAGGAAGGGAGGTGCAATTAGGGCTGAAGAAGATGCAGGAAGTAGGCATTTCCACTTTGGCCTCCCACCATGTTAGACCACCACCATAACTGTCCTGTAATTTATACTGGGGCAAGAACCTTTCACTAAGCCTACATATGCCCCCCCTTCTACCCAACTTGCAGTAATCCCCCTGGACCTGCTGTCCCTCTTTCTTGGTCTTATAGCATTTCAAACCCAGTCATCTCCTACTAAATAGTCATCTCCTAGTAAGTTGTTCCAGAATAATAAACATGATGGTCAGGAAAGGCCAATGTAAAGATGTGGTATTTAAACTGAAACTAGAAATTAGTACAGGATGTGTGTGTGTGTGTGTGTGTGTGTGTGTGTGTGAGGGAGAGAGAGAGAGAGAAGAGAGACCCATTTGCCCAAAATCCAACGCATAGCTCTTATAACCTGTACTCTGCTCTTCATTTTAACATCCAGGTTTCATAAATTTCTATTTTGAAGGGACTCAGAAAACTGTAGTTGGAGAATTTTCCAAGATTACAGAAATTCTGAAGCTTTCTTTTGAAATCATTTTCAATAATCATGAGAGAGATTTTGTCCCTGTTGTGTGGAGCGGGGCTGGGGGCCTCTGAGGAGGTGGGTCCAGGAGTCCCCTGTGATGACCCTCCGCCTCCCTTTGGATCTTTGCCCTCACTTCAGTAAAGAATGGAGAACTGGGGCTCTCAGAATGGGGGCGTCAAGACTGGTACAGTGCAAAGCAAAGTGTGGCAGGTGCAGAAGGGCAGCGACCTGGGCAGCAGTGGTGCAGCAAGAAGGGGCAGTCCCCTGTGAGTATGAGATGTGTGTGTCCTTACAGGAGCACAGCGTTTTGTTGGCTGGTGTGCGCTAGGCCAATCTGGGTCTCAACCTTTGTTTCTGGGAAAGGGACACACTCAGCAGACAGTAAATGTTAGTAATACTTTCATAAAGGGTACGGTGCATTTTTCAAGCACATGGTACACAATAAGCATGTGATCATTTTAGTGTTAGTCATTTGTGGTTCTGCCCTGTGGTTTTTTTTTTAGTATCCCTCTAATCTGCCCCGACACCTGATAGGAAGTGAGGCCTCAAGTGACCTTCCATTTCCTTCCCCTGCCCGCTTTGTTCCCCCCTTTACATTTGTGAAAGAGGAAGTCTACACTGTCCCCATCTGTTTTCTACTGAAGACTGAGGGATTAAGGGGAGTAAAGGTTTATTCAGCTCAGGGTTTTGAAGGCTAATAATTTCAAGTTTGGGCAACTAAAATGGATGAGGTTGTTTTGCTAGTGGGGGTTCTCTGCAGAGCCCCAAAGATGGACATGGTATCATATGATGAGACTGAAAGAGTTTTGGCCCAGACAGGACACTGTAGCCGGTGAAGCCTTAGAGGCGGAACCAAGGAGCTCCTATCTCCCCCCACCCCTAGGAATTTACCTGTGACTCCATCTTCCCCACCCCTAGGAATTTACCTATGGCGCCAAACAAGACCAATGGGCTACCTGTGCATCCCTAATGCCCCCTTAGGTTCCACCCCATACCGAGGTGTCATGGTTTATGTCTGTGTCGCCCAGGCCTCATGAGTTTGCATTGTATATTTGTGATTGGTTCATTGTCTAGTGCTTGGATTGATGGTGTCAGTGCTCCACCCACCTAGGGGTGGAGCCAGGATGTGATGTAATGGCAGGAAGAAGGTGTGTCTTGCTCTTTGTTGGTTCACGTTTGCTGTTTGCAGCCACTATGAACTGCGGCCCCGCCATGCCCGCCTGCCTTGGAGCCAAATGAGTGTGGACTGAAACCTCCAAAAACTGTAAGAAATAAACCTTTCCTTTCCCAACTTTGGGCTTCAGGTATTTTGTCTCAGCAACAAGCATAAAGTAACTAAGACACAAGGTTACTTATATGCCCCCATGCCACGTGTCCACCAGAGAGAAAGTGGGACTCCAGCAGTCGGGGGTGTTTTGGTTTTCTCTCTCTGCATTCTCAGAATAAAGGCCTCTTTTGTTTTATACTTCTCATCTTTTGGACGTACTATATAATCTTATCATTTGGTGCCATGACTCGATCAGCAGGCGATTGACTCCTGGGACACACCCAGTTCGAGTCCCCAGCCGATTCATGAACCCAATTACATCCTGGATTAATTCTCCGCTTTTTGTCTTCCGGGACCTGCTTAATTTGTCGCTAACTGCTCACACACAACACTGGCCTGATTTATCTCAGGTGAGCAAACTCCGGAGAATTCTTCAGTGCTGGGCTCAGCCCCAGGCAGGTTTTCTCCCCCTTTTCGTGGGTTCATGACACTCTTATGTCCTTAAGACAGCCCAGGGCAGGGTCTTTCTGGGCAACCTGTGTCCACACTCAGAGACTCTCATGTCCTTTGAGTTTGGATACCCCAAGACAGAGTTTTCCTGGGCCAGTCCACACTGGAAGACTCTCATGTCCCTCAGAGCTTTATGCTCTCATGGGCAGAACTGTTACTGAATCCACGTGGAATCCACTTGTAGACCTCTCAGTGACAACTGGGAAATATGAGTTTTTGGAACCCTCACCACTGTTTGGTGCCACGGGACAAGTGATGGCTCAACCTCTGGACCACGGCCTATTTCTTGCCTGCATTAGTTATGGGAAATGCTTTTTCTGCTTCCCAAAAGACACCTCGACAATGCTTGATTTCCAATCTGTGTACTCTTAAAATTAAAAGCACCATAAAAACTAAACAATTAATCTTTTACTGCCAGGAGGTTTGGCTGACCTACCCACTTACCGGCAGCCCATGGCCCAAAGGGGGGACATTTGACCCCTGTATTCTCAAAAATTTGTACGATTTTTGCCAAACTGGCAACAAGTTAACAGAAATCCCTTACATACAGGCTTTCCTTACTCAGAGAACACGCCTGTCTCTCATTAAATACTGTACTCCTGCCCAGATACTTTTAGCTAACTCTGCTGCACCACAAACTCTCCCCTCCTGCCCTCATGATCCGCTGGAGGAAGTACCCCCGGTCTTTTATCCATTGCCCCCTCCCTACCCCCAAAATCGATCCTTGCAGTTATCTCCCGCTGTGCGATAATCTTCCCCTCCATCTCCCAGGACCCCTAATTCTCCCAGCAGCTCTAATCCCTCTGTTAGCACTTCTTTGCAGTTTCCGACCTCTTACTCTCCTGAAAATTCTCTGTCCCCTATGGCATTTTCACCTCCCATCCACCATACTAGGTCTCAGTTGCTATATTCTTCCGGCAGGCCGCGTGACTGTTGCAGCTTGCATGCCATGTTGTGGTCACCATGTTGTGGCCCTCCACCACGTGAAAGGGCGCTGCCATCTTGGGATAGATCTCATGGTCAATGGCCGCCCCATTGTGGCTCCTCTTGTGATCAGCAACAGCCACCCTGTTGCGGACCACATGATGGTTCACTATGCTGCGGACAGCAACTGCATTGCTGCAAGGCACACAGTGAGATGCCAACAGCCTGTGTTTCCTCATCCCATGTTAACTGGCAGCTGCTTTGTAGTTGATCTACAGATAATTGCTCACATGTGCCTACCGGATGGATGGCTGCCCAATGCCCATCTACTCTGCAATCTTCTCCTCAATCTCTGCTACCACTTCGGAAGCAAGCTGGCCCCAAGGGACTTGTTAATGTACATGTGCCTTTTTCCCTTTCTGACTTATCTCAGATTACCCATAAATTAGGTAGCTTCTCTGTTGACCCACAGAATTATATCCCTCAGGGCAGGGAATTTGAATTTATAACTAATTGTTATGATTTACATTTTAAGGATGTTTATGTGATTCTAAATACCACTCTCAGCTCACAAGAGCGAACTCAGCTGTGGCAGACAGCTCAAGAAGAAGCTGATCACAGACATAAGG